CCAACTCCAAAGTCAGTTACAATGAATTTATGAATTTGTCAACTCATCAAAATTGTTTTCCGCGACCTTTTTACTGTAATATTTTCTTGATAAATATTTCAACAAGTACTGATAACGGTGATATGTGCAGTATTCAGATTATTTAAGTTTTAATTATGTATAAAAATGTGACGAAAATGTTAATTTTGATATTTGCATTTTATTTTTTACATTTGTTGAATTCACTTGGACTCAAATCGCAGCAACATTGATCTCCTTGTCATTTTTGTCCTGTTTCAGTTTTACTTTAGAATATCAGGTTATCATTCTCAATCGATTAGTTTGACTAATTCTTAACGCAAATCATTATGCTGGATTTTTTTCTATTTGCCTTTTTTAACTGTTCATTTTCTTTTCCAGTTACTTATTTGAAATTTCCTAGAGTATGTAAGACAAACAGCCTTTCGAAGATACATTACATTTCTTATCTCCTTGAAAACATGTATTAAATATTTCCAAACAAAAATAACAAATAGACGATTTATGTAATCATGGATATTTTACACAGGGAGGCGAATGAAAATATACGTTTTCCTCTCGTGATTTTCATTGAGAGAATTAAATTTTAATTCCCTTTCAGGTATTTTCTCCAAATGTGCCAAAACGAATTCAGGTTTCTCGACCATCAAAATTAAGAATAATTTCAAATAAAAAATATTCATTGAGAACATATAAACTGAAAAAATCAAGAAGTTTTAAGTAAATAAAAATAGACATACATCACAGTTGGATATTAAAATTACGAAGAGTTTCTCAAAGAAATTTTAAATGAAAACAAAATCCACTATAAAATCTTAGAGCCATATTTTAACTGAATCAATTTCACCATTATTTAAAAATGAAACAGCACCAAATGAAATTTTATGTAAATGTTTTAAAACATCTGTGCATGCTCGTATTATTGTTGTCGATAGGTGTCATTTACTTTTTATTTCTGATTCATATTTTTATGAAATTTCATAGCTAAAAGCGAAAAAGAAATTCACCGGGAGGAAATAAATAGGAATAGCCTGGGAAGGCATCTTGCTCTGCAACCATCATTTCACTTTGATTTGAGAAAAATATAAAAGGAAAATGTGGAAAAAAATCTACTTAAGCATTTTAAATGGCATGAGACTTTCGAGACAACTATGACCGATATTATACAAAATGCCTAATATAAAGACGTGTTGGAAAAGTCTTTTACTCACTCCACAAAATATGATTAAACATTAGAATTTAATTTGGAATCTCGTCTTGATTGGACCGATAACTTATCAGCACCCCATCAGTTTGCTTTTTATGCCAAAAATTAATGCTCGTATCACTGGAAACTGTAAAATTTTGATGCTAACTTTAATGGTGAATATTCTGACGGATAAGCTTCTTTAGTTGATCTCGTCCTTACCTCCTTTCTGAACTTATAATGTCTTCTGCAGCTCTCTTCTCTTGGTAACTCCGACCACGCGATAGTGTCTGCAGATTTATCTGCTCACCTATCAGGCAAGAACCACATATTAACAAAACATCTTTCTGATATCAACATACTGATCGGGACCCATTACGTGATTTTCTTAGCGATGCCTCTTGGAATGATAATTTTTAATCATCCCGTCGAGAAATGTGTCACTGAGGTCTCTTCCTAGGTGAAACCCGGTATCGAAGCTTTCATGTCAGTACAGAAAGTGAAACTACAATCTTCTTCGTTCTCTCCTGCCTGTTCAGCTGCTGTAGCCTACAGAACTTACTTCTTCCTTCTATATAAATGAGACATGTCCAATTATAACATACGTCTTTTGTAAGCCCTACCTCATTTTGCCAAATTATTACACCGAATTGGTTAAGCATCTCACTTCATTGTGTATACCATTTCTCCAGATCTATCGCCAATGTGTTAACGGATATCACAAATTTGTCTATCATGCTTTAGATAAGAACGGCGAAGCTCGTGCTGTGGCTCTAGATATCTGGATTGCGTTTGACAGGGTTTGGCATGCTGACCTTCTCCACAAGGTCAAGGGATACGGTGTTTCTGGTCGGATATTTGACTTAATCCAATCGTTCCTAACAAATCGTGTAATGAAGGTCATGTTGAAAGGACAATGGTTCTATCCTTGGACCTACGTTGTTTCTTATCTTCATTAATGACTTTCCTGATGTCATCAGTTCCCACCTAGCTATTTATGCTGATGACACAGTTATTTACTTATGTCTTAGTAGCAAGTCCGACAAAGTAAAACTAATCACCACAAAGAACCTTTTTATATCTGCCATCAGCATGCCATCCAGTAGAGTAACTCCTTGCGCCTTCTAGGGTTCACATTCTCTGCTGGCATGAAGTGGAGCGATTACATTGATTCCCTCTGTCGGTTGGTTCACTGTGTCGTGTTAGACATTTTTTTTTATCGGAATCACATTTATAAATCTACCATTCATCCTTTCATTGAATATTGCTGCCATACTTGGTCTGGTGCTCCTACTATATATCTCGATATTCTTGACAAAATTCAAAAACGGAACAGTAATGTAATTGATCCTGAATTCAGCAACTGGCATCACGACATGATGTGGCTTCCTTTTGCCTTTTCTATAACTATTTTCATGTCAACCGTTCTAATGAGCTTTCCCCCATGGTGCCCCGACTGCGTTTCTTTCTTCCTGAATTCTGTTCTTTCATTGTAGTTTCTTTTCACTCTCTTTCACTCCCAGTAAACCCCTTGCGTCCTAGTGGCATTATCGCATTGCTTGGGGTGAAATGATTATTTATATATATATATATATATATATATATATATATATATATATATATATATATATAAAAAAAAGGTATTTACTTTACACAGCAAGTTTATATTTTTCGATAATCTCATTTCTTGTCAATACAAGTTAAATTTAGTGATAATTATGGATGGAATATTATACAGTGAAAGTTCTAGATCGAAATTCTGCTTAGAACTCTATGCCAGGCTAAGAACTTATTGATCCAACTTCAGTATTGTCATCTTTTTCTTGCTCTTTAGCATAATTACTCTAAGCTGATGCCAATAAATAGTAATTTTATTAAAATATAAAGCTACTTGTTTATTGATGTACCTACTTGTTTACCTTTCTTTTGTTTTTTAAATAAATATGAAGCTAAAGTTATGAACGTTTGGGGCTCGTGCGGCCCGAATGGTGAATGTCTACTCCGAGTTGCCTAATAGAAGAGGGAGAGAGACATTTATTATTATTATTATTATTATTATTATTATTATTATTATTGTATTATTTTTTACAAAATCTTCCGACCCACCACCTATGCCTATTAAGTCCCATCCCCGTTTATTACATTGGCACTTTTCCCCAAACAGGAAAAAGTAACTATTACAGTAAATCAACATTTTTACTTGCATCTTTTTAAGATATTCAAAGGGCCATAAAACTGTATATAACTTGTATAAACAAGTTGTCTTACTTCTTAGATTTGGCAGCAGTTTCGTTCCCAGAATTTCTTGCACTTTCTGATAATACGATGGTGTACGGATGTACTTCCGGTTTACGAGAGGCGTTATTTAATTTATGCAAGCTGCTTTTGTGCATACTAATGGTGTACCATGGCTCCTTAGAGAGTGCAAGAGGTTCTGAAGACAAGATTCGGTGTTACAATACTGGTTTTAAAAAAGAAAAAGTAACTTTACTTATAATTTTAGTCTTTAAATGATTTCCAACACGTTACCTTTTAAGTTTCTTGTTTCAAGATAAAATCTGACCTATATTAAGAACACCCATTTGTATTAAGCACCTAAGATTATTTAATAATTTGATCAAGTCTTCGTGTAGCTCATCCATGTATATATGTATTTTCGTTCACCTGCTTTGTTCGACTACTGAGTCTAACCCCAAGTTTGAGTTAATAGCCTCTACTTGCAAGCACTTATTTGAAATCAAAACTTATCTATATCATTGTCAAGCTTTATCTATAATCATTGGAATAATTTTGATTATCCTACCAAAACAAACTATTTTCATTCTCACGAATATGTTGTTTCTCTTTTCTTTTCTTTTCTTTTTTTTTTTTTTTTTTCGTGTGTGTGTGTGTAAGGATTTCGTGTGCGAAGAACGTATTTACTGATATAAGCAAGAATTAATCTCTGTACGCGTGTTTGATTGGGGTGTGGAAGATTTGTTTGGATGCCTGCGTATATATATATATATATATATATATATATATATATATATATATATATATAGAGTGTGTGTGTGTGTATGTGTGTGTGTGTGCGTGCGCGCGCGTATGTATTCGTGCATACATAAATGTTCAAGTGATATATTTGCAGTAAAATAAAAAATAAATCACAATCGAACATAAGTGGTAGAGCCAAATTAGCCAACAGAGAAAAGTGGCAATATTTACGCATCTTTAAAAGTAAAACATCCATTAATTAGAGTTGTTATTTCTTTTATACAAAATAATTCTTCTGGTAGGTATATTCTATATACAGGTTTGTGCTAAATTCATTTGATAAATAGACAACGCACATGATATTAGAAAGGAAAAAAAAGTAAACTGCAACCAACTTGGACATCACTTGAGAAAATATGGCTCAGAAGTTCATCAAATATGGTTACCTATATGAATATCTCATTATCAATTATATCATATCATATCGATATCCTATGATAACCTCTTTGTTGATATTATCTGTTCAGTAATAATACTAGTAATATTGATAAGAATATATCTTAATTTTATTTTGGTATAGATGTTAAAAATATCGAACTTTTATAAATATCAATAATTAATCATAATCAGTAATTAATATTATATTCATAACTATTATTTTTCAATACAATTAATTGTATGCAGATGTCAGTAAAATAATATTATTACTGAGATCTTATCTAAGTCAATATAACGTTTTTGTCATTAAAAAAATGTATTATATCATAAAACTTTTTTTCATTACTGAAGATTTTGAAGAAAAAAGAGAAAGTGCCTCATCTCAAGATCTATATCTGCGCCAACTGGCGCTTCCATACGCTGGTTGGAGAAGAGAGAATAGTTTGTGCACGCTGGCACCTCCAGGTAAGAATCTGTTGGCACCGATTCTATCGTCGTTGTATGTTCTTGAGGCTGAAGGTGCTATTCGGAAGGCTATAGGTGTTTTCAGAGTAACATCAGATTTCCTTCTTCGTGTGAGTCCTGGGCTATTTTTTCTGTATGTCCTCCTGCTCTTGTGACTTCTACGACGATTACAGTTTTTGCCACAAACTCGCTTTTTCTTCAACCAACTACGCCGGGTTTTCGCTATGTTTGGAACGGTAACAACTTGTGTATTGGCTTCTAAGGGTAACAAGCGAGGAGTAGCGATTTTCTTTTCCCCGTCCCTGTTGATCTCGATTACTTCTTCTTGATAGTTATTGTTAGATCTCTTCTCATCTATCGCAGTTATGATAGTCCTGGCCCCTTTACAGGTTTGTTCGCATTCTTCTTTCGTCCGGAAACGGTTCTCATTTCCACCACAACCACCATAATGAAACCAACTGCATTGTTTAGAATGTCGATTGAAGTACCAACGAGTGAATTTCGCATCGCATTTGCCCGGTTGCGGCGGTAGGTAGCATGCTTCGGAATTCACTGGAAAAAAAAAAAGAAGAGTTTAGCTAAAGATTCCTTTTACTTTCTTTTATTGTGTTTAATGGAAATTTTTTGATTATTCTCTTTTCCCTCTGTAAGTTCTGATTTATGAACCTGCATTAAAAATAATTATTCTAATATTCCAATATTCTTTACGGTTTCTGGAAAAATGGTAGCATAAATTTGCAGTGAAATTCCAATCTAAACATTGAGTAGGAAAGTGTTATACCGACATACCAAAAGTCATAGGAATCCATCTGTAAAGGCAATAGTAGATACTTGACCTGTGGTGTATCGGAGTTTAAACGGTGCCTGATAATGGGTACCAGACAAATAGGTTATTCAATTTCTGCTATTTGACATCCATCGAATCTAAGGTGCCATTTGTGCATCGGAAATATTTGATGGATGGCATTAGTTGCTGGCCACAGGACCTTAATGATCATAACGAAAGAAATCTAAAATTGTATGAGTGGACTGACAAACGACACCTACTAAACTCACAGCTACATTCACTGCAGAAGATACAAGACGCATATCCAGAATGTATGTTCAGCGTTTGTTAGCTTCCATGCGATAGAAGAAGGAGAAGACTCACTGGGGAGCTCCTGCTTACATCATGACACTAGATACAATGAACTCATTAATTGTATCCTGGAAGACTGGTAATGTGAAGGATGTTTCGATGAGTCATGATTCCATGGATACAACAAAGTTGGTAATAGTTCTATAACGTTGTGGGTTGTGTTCCAGTGGCATACATTGAGCGTACTGATCCACCAAAACCATGTTATTGACGTTATTGCTTTGCTTCGTGACACATTACATCCATTCATAGATTCCATTACATCCATTCATAGATTCCATTACATCCATTCATAGATTCCATTACATCCATTCATAGATTCCATATACCCCTAACAACGATAGGTTATTCCAGCAAAATAATGAACCGTGTCATCGGGACCCAGGTTATCCAGAACTTGAGAAGCATTCTGGAGATTTCCAATGAATTGTATGACAACTTGAGCTTTTATGTGATGTGATGAAGATGTCTCTTCGAGCACCCGATTTTGCACTTACAGCTATGGAGACTGTATGACTCAGCATCACACCAGATGTTTTTCTATCACTTGTGGAATCGTTGGGTTACTTTAATTCGCCGAGAGGGGATCCTACCAGATGCTAAGCATCTGCCCCATGACTTTTGGTACATCAGTATACATTATCTTGACAAAGCGGTTGCAATGTAACGTTTTTAATATAAAGTACATAAAATATTTATATTTATATAAATGAGATTCAGCAATATGTACATAATATAAGGTAGAAAAAAATGGTGCGAAAGATAAATGCATTGAACTGAAACATGGTTTCTAAGATGAGGATTGGGTTGAAAAAACATAATGTAAACCAAGCAAAAAGTAACCGAGAAGAGTAATGTTATTTAGTTTCAATCAAAACTTGTACAGAGGAGAATCATTAAATGACACTAAAATCAGGTCAAAGCAAATTGTTTTTTATAGAAAAGCAAGAGTAGAAGTGTAAATTAACTTTCAATATTTTGAAATAAAGATTTAATTTAAGATAAAATTCCCACACTTGTAAGGGCGTTTAAACCAGCTTGCTAGGAATGTAGGGCAAGACAGGGTATATTGATGCACGTGGTAGGTTGATGCACAACGCATATTTCGAAAACAGTAGCGTCTATTCATTTGCAAGTGACACCAGCACATGCGTATTTAATGTTTCTTGTTTCATTATTGTTTACAGGTCGAAGCTCTGCAAATCGAGGAAGTTTGAACCAAAAATGGGCGAAAAATCAGCGATTATGCACGTTAAGTAAAAAAGTTTTTCTGTTCTAATTTTTTCTAAATCAAATTCATTTGCAAATGATATGCTCTGGTAATATGATAAACTACTATAATTTTCCTTTAACCGACTCCACTTGCCAAAACTCTGCGAACAATGTGGGTCTAGCACCAAGCCTTTGAATATTTACTTAGGTGGTGGGGGAGGCTGATGCAAACCAGGACGGTGTACTTTACTTTCATGGAGTTCATCAAACGTCCTAATCCATATTTTTTAATTGCATTTTTGTAGAATTTAGGTATATTATATATATATATATATATATATATATATATATATATATATATATATATATATATATATATATTTAGCGGCATCCCACATCCCATGGAGGGGCTATGTTTCGCTAATTTTCTCTTAACCATGGATGGAGGTGGGGGGTCGAACACAATTATTACCAATGGTTTTACGTAGTACTTCAGTGTTTTTGTTTATTTTTAGGTTTGAATTTTTTGTTCCCTTTTTAGTTTTCAATGTTTTTTCTACATGTCTAGCTACTCTTGCTGTTTTCAATTAATTATGTTTTAAATTGATTTTTCTATTCTTCATATGCCTAAAAGATTTCTTTCTTTTATTCACCCGATTATTTCCGTTGTTCTTATGTCTCTCTCTCTCACTCTTTCTCTCACACTCTCTCTCCCACTCTCTCTCTCTCATTCTCTCTCTCTCTCTCACTCTCTCTCTCACACATATATATGACTAAAAATTTTGTTTGATTCATTTGTTTGTTTCAGAGAATGGTACCAACCCCTCCCCCCAAAAGAAAACAACAAGATCAACGAAGATGATATTGTCACAAATGGCCTTTCCAGCCGTGTTGCTTCCAAAATTCACGGCCTTCATAATTGAACTTTTGGTCGCTACATTAAAATTGAAAAAAAGGGGCAGCAAGAACACACCACTCGACCCACGTGTAAAACAACAGCTATTGGTGGCCATTGGATATAGCACCTACAAAAAGGTGTTTAATGAGGAGCAGGAGCAAGCACTTATTTCATATCCACATGAAAGTGCACAACGGCACTTTGTCCTTGCTGCCTTTGAGTGCAGAATGTTGGCCTATCGATGCGTTGTCAAGTTCGGAATTCAATGTCTTGAATCGTGACATAACAAAAGTGCTGGTTATAATTTCGGAAACAGCATAATCTTTCCCTGAAGTGAGATGACGATACCAGCCTTTCTAATCTTCCCTATGTGAACAATTTCTACAAGAATTTGTTGGAAATCATGCATCGCAATGACTATGGACTTGAATCCATCTATAATATAGATGAGACAGGAGTGATCACTGTCCCCGATTCTTAAAAAAGTCATCGCCAACGCAGGTAATGGTCACGAGGGTGATTATTATCTGTGCAACGGAAATTCCTTCCTAGCCATATTCGTCTTCTATGAACTCGAAAGGTATCGCAAATGGATCTGTATGGATCAAGGAAGGGGCCTTTCTTGAGTGCATAGATGAGTTTATCAAGCATGTAATGTCAAATGCCCAACACCCACTGATTTTTAATTACTCAACTGCCTTTGTCTTCAGCGATGATTCAAGAAAATATCATTGAGTCCTTCAGAAGCCCAGGTAGCTGATCTGATGTTGATTTCAGCGCATCAATCTGAACAGAAATAATCTGATAATGCATACAATGTGATAATTCTCACAACACTGGCTCCATGCCTGCAGCACTCGGCTTTAGGATAACACTTACAACTTCAAACCTCTATGCTAATTTTGTATCATCCAGCAACAATGCTATGCCCGTAGTTCCTGGCATCAGTGCTACACTTGTAAATCCCTGCTGGTACAAGCACCAGATCTCCAGCCCCAACCAACAGTACAAAATTTTGTAAAAATGTGTCTAATCTCCAGGATATTTTTCGTGTCTCTCAAGTGCAATGTCAGCTGTTTACATGTCAAGACAGATGAAAGTGAAGAGCGAACTAGTCACTGACACACCTGTGAAAATTTTCTATCCACCAAGAAAGCTAGCATTGATAAGAAAATCTCAGTTGGGTGGCGGGGGAAAGAGACAAAAGATTGTGAATCAGACGCAGATCAGTAGTACTGCATTTATTGTTGTGGTAGATATGGAAATTCTCGGGATGGGGAGAAATGAATCCAATGTCCGGACATTGTGGAGGCGTGGCTAATGAGGAATGCCATGGTTTTGCTGTGATAAACTTTTATCACTGCAAAACAATAGCAGGTTTTATTTGTTAGTGGTGGAAGATAGGAATGAGTAGATTTTGATTAGTAGCTATATATTTACTCCTTGGTCTGCATTCCTGCATTTGCTATAACTTTATTTTTATTTATATTGATTCAAACGTTCACTTGGCGGAATTAAAATAGTATTTAAACCCACGTTTTGTGATGCTGTTAATTCTTTGCACCAATATGCCACACTGGGGGCACACTATGTGTGGAGAAGTTTGACGCATTTGACATGTTGTCATAAAGGTATAATATTATGAAAATTCTGTATTTTATATATTTCAATGTACATCCAACAAATGACAAACACATACTCCAGTATGTTATTAAATTTGAGTGCATGATGTCAACATGAGCATTAAATTATTGACAACTGAAAAAGTTTCATGAAAGTATATTATAACGAAAGTGAAAAAATGAGTTCCGTGTTTTGTTTTTGTTTTTTTGTGTATGTTTAAATAATAAGCTTCATTATTTCATCCGCAAATACACAAATAAACACGGAACACATTTTTTCTCTTTCGATGTTATGAAGCCTAGACGGCGAAATTGCATAATCGGATATATTTTCGAAATAATATAATTTCATGAAACTTTTCCAGTTGTCAATAATTTAATGGTCATGTTGGCTAAATTTCAACTCTATAAGAGAGATTGTTTAGCGTCAATTAGGAAAAATTGAATTCACGTAACCCGGCTTACCCTAATAAACTTTGTTGGTAGCATGAGCCTTCTGTATTTTATCCACAAATTGAATACAATATTACCAAAACGCAAGCTTTCACTTGACACTTTTTTTGTTAACTGAATCAAATCTATGCAAACATTAATAAAGGGAACGCAGTAAAAATTGTTGATTTTTTTTTTTAATTTCTGATTATGATTTTTGAAAAATGAGATTTTCATTAAATATTGTCACCTGGTACATATTTTTCCGGAATACACACAGGTATGGTGATTGGCCGGGGCACCTGGAGGTGTTGCACAGCACAAACTTTGCCCAAAGGACACAAAATGCCATATGACTGCAAATGGGAAAAACAAAACTATAGAAATATTGTTTAAGAACATTAATGATAGTAGTAGTAGTAGTAGTAGTAGTAGTAGTAGTAGTAGTAGTAATTTAATTTTTCAATTAAATAACTACTACTACTACTTCTACTACTACTACTACTACTACTAAGAAAATACGTGCCAAAAACATCATATAATTTTAATCCTAATTTTTTCTTAAAATCTTTTGAGCTGGGTCAGTGGCGTAGCTAGAGTAAACGTCACCCTGGGTGGTCCGCTCAAATGTCACCCCAATGACCCCGATTCACCCTATGCTGAATGGTTAGCTGTAGCTAAATTTTCATACATGCTCTACCTCTACTTTACTCTACTGACCGGTACGTTACTGTTTACATGTATGATCCAAGACAAAATCCAATACCACAAAATAACCAGTTCAAATCAAAAGATTTTTAAAATGCAACTGTTTACTTTCAGAACAACTAAATACAAAACACGGCAATACACAAAAGATACTATGGTCTTAGAATGAATGTTTTCTTGTTTTCATTGTGGCCAACTGGTCAATGACATCGTCAAAATCTGTTTGTCCTGTAAGCTCGTTTTCAATGGACAGCACAGTCAGATCCGACAGTCTCAACTGGCTCACGGTTGACGTAATTTTCTGTTGCTAATTTTCCGGTGTCCAATTTTCCGTTGCATCATTTTCTGGGTACCATTTAATTATCAATGATGTTTGAAAGTATTTTCTTGACAAAAATGTTCTATTTAATTTTTAAGCATTTTTCGGAACATTGTAAATCAACTGCAGTCTTTTAAAGGTTACCTAGAGAATTTATGCAAATTTTTTTCTGTTTTTCTTTATACAAGTAAAATAAATTTACATCGTATTTTGATGTTATTATGATTTTAGTTTTAGTGATAATTTAAAAACAATAAATATTTATCATTAGTACCAATAATGGAAAATTAAGTTAAAAATTTAAAAGAATCGTTTAGGCACAAATTTTTCCGATACCCCAAAAAGTTCCGATTTTTCCGATTCTCGATTCCGATTAATCGTCCCAACACTAGTAGATATATTCAAAAGTATATCGCTCACTCAATGGAAAATTGTATCTCAGTGAATTGATACACAGGCAAGACTAAAATTGTTGCACTTTTGGCTTCGTATTTCGCTTTGTTGTTATTAATGATGCAGAGTTAAAACACCATATCATCCGATAAAATGTTACAACAAGGTCTCTTGTTAGTAACCAAGATTGTAGCAACTGAAACACATGAAAGCTGAAAACATTGCTATTTTTCCTACTCACAAATTTCCCGACAATTTATTAGAAAATTTCTGACGGGGTGGGGGACAAAACTAGGGGGTCATAAATTATTTCTGGGGGGTCATATGCCAGCCTGCGGAACCCTGTGTCTCCACCACTGTTTTCAGACTATTTTTGGCACCTTAGCCTGGTTGAAAAATTTTGTTGGGGGTGACATTGTGTCACCCCTCCTGTGCTGGCACCCGGGGTGGTCAGCCCCCCCCACCCTTCGACCCCCCCTTAGCTACGCCACTGAGCTGGGTATCTGTTTCATTTTGCTGATTTCATTAAATACGAATACAAAGATTCTATCTAAAAAGACTCTCCATTAATCAGTCTATTATTTAACAACGAAATAAAGCGTGAAGAAATCGAAAACTTTCTTTCAATTGGATAAAAACCAACTAAATAACAAGCAGAAACCTGTACCATTTACGGTGCAATAATTTATTACTATTATATATCTATTTCCAAAGCATTAATATAAGCAAACTAATACTAAATGAAAATGGATGCGTTTTAAAAGGACACTCAGTTGGCAGTCGATAGACACCATCAATATTCAGTTAATAGAAAATAACTTTGTCAACACGACTTTTCACTGATTGTTTAAAATTTAATCAATCAACCAATAATTTGAGTAGATAAAAGTAATGCATTTTCTGCTCAGTGTGTTTGTTATTTCATTAGAAAATGGAAGGTCGGGTTCATCAGATTTATGTCCACTATGTTTATTTGTAAAAAAATAAAAATAAATAAATAAAAAAAAAAAAAGTTGTCGATGTTTTACAGTTGAGTCATACACATAAAATTGAGTCATACTCATAAAATTGAGTCATACTCATAAAATTACTTACGATACAAGTTTTTTCGGCATCCGGCCCTAAAGTGAAACTTCCTCGTTTCTGAGCGAGCGTCTAGAAAATACAGAAAGTAAACAAAAAGTAAATAAAACTAAATTACTGGTTAGTTATAACTGCACCAGAAATTAGAGACATTACACAGATTGGTTTTGCCCTCTACCACTTGTAGAAATTAACTCAGTAGAAGTAGTGTAGCTATGGTAGTCATAGGATGTGAACGCGTTTTTGACTGCGGAAAAGATGACGTATTGTATCCATGTGGAAACTTCTGTAGGTTTTCCTCGAACAGCAGTAGCAAGGGTATACTAGGAATCTGGGAATTCCAAACAAAAACGAGACAGCCAATAAAAGACATTGTATATTAATCACGGAATAAAGAAAATCACTGCATCAAATCACATCCCAATTCCACGCTTAAATTTCTATTGAATCCGCAACATTCAGCCACATGGATTCCCTTGCAACAGCCAACAATTATGAACACACCTTAATAAACATACCCACGCACCTAATAGATTATATAACCGCCAGTATTCAGCCGAAGTGGGGCAGTTACAAGTTATGTTGCTGTCTAATTTGCTGGCAATTCTGTTTATTTCTCATCCTCTTCAAATGTTAAAATCTCAATGTTTAAAATATTTTATCAAGAGGAAGAATTATTCGGGAAGAAAAGATTGCTTTGATGCTGAAACTTTATCATCATCATCATCCTTCCACCTCCCCATGTTTGGTACAGAGCTCCATTGACATTACCTTTCCACACTGTTCGGTCCTGCACTGCTGACACCAGATCCCCAATGCCCAACTCTGATTCTCGAGCTATGTTGTCAGGGAAAGTCAATTTTCATGAGAAGACACTTCCAGAAGGATACCATAGAAGAAAGGATGAGATGACCTCCCTGTCTGCTTGATGGCAGTGGCCAGCAAACTGTAATCATTTTTGTTGGAGCTTAAGAGAGATTGGTCTCAGTTCTCCGTAAATTGTATTAAGCATTGCATGGGATCTCCAACTGATATTCTGGATTTTTCTAAGTAGATTTGTATACGTTCCATCCAGTCATCTTTCAAGACGAGCAGATAATGTCCAAGTTTCTGACCCATACAGTAGGACTGTTTCAATCAATGGTTTGGAAGGTTCGAGCGCCAAATCTTGTGATGTTTGTTACACGCATTCCCTACAAGAGCTTTGCGGATGCTGAAGTCTTTAAGTCCTCAATTCTTTTGATGGATTATTATTGAGTGACTTCAAAGGAGGTTGTGATATATTCTGTTTTACTTACGTCGTAATAGAGACCTACGTGGTTCGCTGCTTGCTCAAGTGATTTCAGCACTGGTTCTGCATCCTTGATACATTGAGAAATTAATGCAAGAACTCCGGCAAAGTCAAGGTCAATCAAGTATTGTGGAGAGTACCGACTACTCTAGTGAAACCTAAATCACAACAAATCGCTCACTTTTGCGGGATATAAAATCAATTGGATAAAATCATTATTTACTCATAAATAATAAAGATGATATTTTGTTTATTTTAAAATGTATAAATTTAGTTATAATTTCAAAATACATTATAAATTGTTGGAATATTCACTAAATGTTTTCATAGCTCTAATATAAAATCACTCAAGAATAATTACGCGTTTATAAAATTATTTTAAATGCATTTCTATTTGAAAATGTAAATGCATTTCTATATTTTTGCAATACATTTTCAGAATAAATTGTCATGCATTTTAATGCAAAACATTTCTAAACTAAATAATTGTAATGCATTTCTCCAATAAATTAATGACGATTCATCTCTTATACCAATTTTAAAAAAATAAAGAAATTGTTTTATCCAAATATTTATGTAACTAACAGAAACTAATTTTAATGTCAACATTACGTCCTACAGATAATGTGTAAATTTAGTTTTCCGATGTAAGTTTCGTTCTCCGAAATCCAACATTGTGTCTTAAAATGAAGAACGTAGAATATAAAAGAGAAGGAAAAAATATCTTATGTAAGCATTTTAAACGACTTATCTTTGCCATTTTACTTTTCTTAATGCAATATCTAAGGTGCAAGTTCATCGATAAAAGTAGAGATTCAAGCAGCTAAATTTAATTTCTAGTCGCCGTGAGCGGGCTTCGAACTTTTGGTGAAGTATTTTAATGTGCCCTTATCTTGAGTGCGATGGTAGATTTGTAAAATCCCTATGAATATGAATAAAATCTATAATTTCTTTAAAAACTGAGAGTGATATTTAACTTTTACACATATTATACAAAATAAAAATGTGCTGTATTAGCAATTTTTGTCTCCAGTCTGCTTTTAAATAGAAAAACACTTCCGATATTTTTTACAAATTCACAAATATTCTGTCATCTGCTCTGAGTAAGTGGCCGACATTTTAATGATGGCGACAGCTTGCCGAGAATGGACTGCTTAAGAAATAACTTGAATATAGAATTTAAAATTATTCTTCAATGCCAGTTCTTGTTCTTTTTCATGTCAATTAATCCAATTTGATAATTATCAAGACGTTTTTTTAAAATTGTAAAGGGACAGGATGGGAGTTAAAATAAATACATATATAATGAATAAAAATGAAAATACCTAAAAAAGAAAGAAAAATCAAAAATGGTGAAAGGGGATATTAAAATGGAATGATGAAACTGAAATATAAAACATGAAAATAATATAAAAATGAATAGAACGGATGACTGAAAAAAAGAAAGTTAAGAATGAAAGAGATGAAAAAAGAGGAAAATATGTAGAAGGTAAGGGGAGAGATGGACGAAGGAAGGTGTAAAAGTAAAAGCAAAATACGGAGATAATAACACTTGATTAAAAAAAACAAATTCGCGTATAACTTGGCAGCTTCCTCTTATACTCTTGAAAGCCGCCATGTCAATTATTACGTAAGCAAGAAGACTATAAAATTCTCCACAAAAAATAAAACCAGAATTCCTCTTTGGAGGAATTCTCATTTTTTATATAATTGAAAATTGTGCCAGTTTGTAAAGTTTTAGAGGTATCAGTTTGTTAATATAAATTCAAATAACAAAAAGAATTTAAATATTGATGCAATGAATTGTTTTAAGATCGCCTTAATTTCTTTGTTAACATCCATCTTATCGTGTGTTCAAAAAGAAGTTTATATCTGTGACTGTACCGTTTGCAATTATTTTTCCTTACGTGACATCAATCGTGATTGAAAGATAAGTAATTTTATTTGAATTTCATATGCAACCAATCTGTATTGTACAACATTTAGCAGTAAACGCACGTACAAAGGCATTGCTTAAAATAATGATCTCATGAATTTCTCTCCCACTTAAATCAAAACAGATGTTTTAGATCGAATAGAAAGAAGTGACAATTTTATATTTTTTTTGCAACTCATTAACTTTATGGAGTTTTGCCCATCTGGGTGAGCGATTACTGTGAAATTTAAATCTAAAGTAACTAGATGTGATCTGGACAAAAAATCTATTTCACGAAACTGTCGTCAAGTCAGATGCGTTGTGCCAGTATAACCATCACGTACAGATTATCAAATTAACATAACTAAAATACTTAAATGTTGCCTTCAGCTTCCTATGTAACCAGTGGGGAAAGGTCTTTTCGAAAACAATATCCATATATTTGTTCATAATGTCTACGAGCATCAAACACAACCATCTTATTCTATTGCTTTAAAACCATAATATATTGTAAATAACAATATTTTATACTTCATTTTATACTACTACTACCACCTATCCATACAAACAAAGTGATTCATCTTTAAATTCTCATTTTAAATTCATAGTTGCTTTAACAGAATAATGGCAACTCAGTAGATAACAACAAAGTTCCTTTGATTGGTAGGTTAACAAGCAAAACAGATTTTTCTATTCGAAAAAGTTATACAATTTTGATAAGGTCAAAAATGATTTTAGAAATACACGTAAAAGCTTCATGGAAAGTTTGTTCTTTGTTCCATCAACTCAACAGAATAATTAAACCTTGATCCTGAGATAAGATTTTCTTTTACAGTGCCACTTTATCTTCCATAATACATCAAACAAGAAAAATTTCTATAATATCACACACTTGAATGTATGTCATTTACGTAACTTCTTTTTTTCAATAGGTCACTTATTATAGTATATACGTAAAATTCTATCAGAGCTAACATAACACCAAAAAACATATCTAATGGTACAAGAATAAACCGTCTTGAGAATTCTTTATATTCTCTTGTCTTATTAGATCTACTGAGTTTACAATCACTTTTCTCATAAGCAATTTTTATTCAAATTCATTTAAAAACCAAATTTGGCGTAAAATAAAATAGCCTATTTGTAGATGAATAATAGAAATCGATAATAAAATATATAATCACCGAGATATTTTGAATATTCCCAAATGTTGAAAGCTTGAATGCTACACTACATTGTAGTCTGTTGTTTGTAATACAGTTTTCAGTTTGGATGTAGTTCTTTTCAAACATTATCATTATGTTTTTAATGTAGTTATTTCTGAATATCTCTATTGTTCACAGGATGGTATGACTCTTGGATTAGTAATGCAACTGTTATTTCATCTTTCTCGTGAATAGCTGATCAAGAAATACAAAACATCTTTTTGTTCCGAATTATTATATTTAATATATTTATTTGACAATTCGGAAATCATCTATCTTTCCTCACGAGAGACTAACGAATCAGCTCTTCGCTTCAGCTAGGGAAAATTCCAGTTGTATCCTTTATCACGACAGACAGATACCTTCTCCTATAACTTGTTCTCCAACAACAGCTTGTTATCCGCCAACGGGTAGCTCTAAACAGATCTACACAAGCCCTGGCTGCTTGCATAGGCCCAAGAGTAGCACTTACCCACGAATATTTTTATTTATTTATTTTATTTCCATTTTTCTATTTATCAGAAAAATCTAGGTTGGTGATTTCTTAATAATTATTCATGTCATAATATATTAACTTTTTGCCAATAGGAGCTGCCGTATGGCGAAAATACTAATGGAGTTGATTAAACCTTAGTTTGAATTTTATTTGTTTTAGCTAATT